CGGTCTGGACCGACGGAGATGTCGCGTGCGGCCGCACTAAGACGGCAGTCTAAGGACAGAGTCGCTGGAACAGCGTCCGGCGGCTCCGCTTCTGGCTCGCATTTCGCGGAGTTATGACCCTGGTGGTGACCCGGCGAAACGGCGGTCTAGATGACGTAGAAAAGCAGTCTACACGAAAAGACGGACAAGACATCTTCCCACGGAATCCCCATCCTGAGGCCCCACTTCGAGACCCGCGGCGCCGTGCCACGCTCACTCACCTATCCCCTGGCCTTTACCCGCCAGCTGGCCGGCCAGCCGCTGCTCGTCTATTGTGACGCGGCAGGTCAGGCGGCCGGCCGACCAGCACCAGTCGACCCAACTTTCCGCTACTTAATTTCGGCAAGTAGCTGTTCGGGTCGTGAGCGCGCCGCGCGCCACGGCGGCAGCGGCCGGCGCCGCTCCCGGGGCGGCCATTACACACGGAGCCGCGAAATGAAGTCGCTACACTCGCCAGTATCATTCAGCTATAAACCATCATAAAGTGGCGTCGTCCTGCGCCCGGCGCGGCCGCCAGGTATGTCGGCGACATTTACGGACCGTAAGACGAGCGTCGGTAGACGGCGGGACACGGCGAGACGCGGTGGGGCGGCGGGGCGGCGGGACGCGGCGGTGGGACGCAGCGGCGGCGGTGAGTCGACGTCGGTCGGTAACGACTCCCGAGATTTACACGGCGGTCCGGGCCCAAATAAATCTCCGGTTCCATTTATGCAGCCGGTCGTTCGGACAACAGGTCGCCGCCAGACGATGCACGACACCAGCACAAAAACAGGGAGCCACCACGCCGGAAATTGGCCGCTGGCAAACAGCGCCACCGATTTTACGACGCCTCTCCGGCAGGCGAAGCACCTGGGCGACACACTCGTGGACGACCCACAGAATCAGCTTAGACACCGCGCACACGTAAAGCTGGTTTTCCGAGCAGCAAACTCGACCCAAAGTGGGCCTAGTTAGATGATCCTAGTACCAGTAAAAACATAAACTTGTCGCTAAAACCCCTTCAAAAAATATGTACCGCGTCCATTTTTCGCTTGCTCATCCGGCTTAATAGATGTATAAGCACGAGGCCTGGAACAAAAAATTAACAGCCAGGCTTATATGAGAACGCCACAGAATGGACCAGCATAACAAGCTGATTGGTAACGAACCACGCATCACTAAAAACAGACACGCTCCGAGTCTGTCTTACATAAATAATTATGCTGTGGGTTTTTCCCTAGAGCGACAAAAGGATCCAGAGCGTCAAATATCCAACAGCGTTTGCATCTTCCAAAATTCACACGGTGAGCATTCCAACGAGCAATGCAATGGAGGGGTTCTCACTTCAAACAGGACCGAAACATACATGTACGATGAACCAGGTAAATAGCAAAACTTCAAGTCACTACCTTTACAAATTATGCAATGCCTGCGAGTTGACCATCAAGGCATATGAAGAACATCCATTTTAATCACCTTCGAGTCCAAATTACGCTGTCAACGCTTTGTAACAGCGCTTCACTTCTATCACGCTGTCGCGACCACCCACGGCATTACAACCACCGTACGCACCTCTACTTGCGGGAATAAAAGAACGTTCACGATTGGCCCAGCGGGCAAGGGTCTCTTACCGAGAAGCACATTGGATGAAATTTGAACCAGTTCACATGCATCATGTGATACTCCCACTCCAAAAGCCAAAGTGCGCCTCGAAAAGAGCCACCGAGGTGAACGCCATGCGGGAGATACCAAAACCATAGTATAACGTTTCGTTGAATTCGCGAGATAATTACCTTATATCGCATATCGTCTTGTCTGAATCGAGTGTTTCAAGCTTTCATAGCATATATTTTACAAACAGTTTGACATATAAGTGTGCTGCAAACATTAAAGAACACACACATTGGAAAAACAATGTTAATTACATGTATTACTTTCATCCTGGTGAGCAGGGAATCAAATGAGATTTTTACCGCAGGGTCGGGTACTTTCGAGTGAAAATTCTAAACTAATCGGGAAGCTTTCGAGAAAACTGGTATAACTGATCAAATCGCACGTGTCTCATGTAGCAAGAAGTGAAATGTACAAAAAAGGTGGGATGCTCTATTCAATGACGACGTGTCGCCTTTAAGGTCGGAATTAAGTACCTGCACGTGCATCAATGGACAAGGAATGTCCCATTCAAATTGTGAAGCCAGTTATTCTAATGTGTCACAAACCGCCCACATTTTTCCATTTTCAATAGACTTTCAAGTCATCCTTTCCTCGTGTCTCTTGCTTATCGGTATACGGACATATGTGTGACATAATTTTCATCAGTTGTCTCCACTTCCGAGCGCAATATTTATTTCGGCAAATCGCGACCAAACAGGCATGAGATTGCGTAATAGGTAGAAAAGCTATGACAACCCTTAGCACTTCATTTGCAGAACAGTGCGTTTTTCATGTCATAATTATCCAGCCAGATCTAAGGCTTCATGTCGCGCATGCTGTAAACTCGAGCCTCGTCGGCGACGCCACAGCATGACCTTAAGACATTGCATTAGATTTGTTAAGGCCTTTGAAAAACCTATTCAGCGATTACCCACAAGCCAGCCCAGTTATGCTGGAGGCTATACTTAAACTAGAATAGCTGTGTTTGCAGTTGTGATGGGCTTTCATACGGTTGGTATTTTATAAACCACATTCAATCACTGTTGTGTACGCCACAAACGCACGATTTGGTGGAATAACAGTGGCAAATAGTCTCGCGCAATGGTTGCAGACGGCTTTCGTGATGGTTTCCTAAGGTGGCATTCATGGAAAACTGTCTCGTTCACAGTCACCCAGGATTTTTTCCTTGAACTCCCTATAAAATGTATTAACCCTTGCCGAAAGACGTCTAAGGCGGACCGCCCTGCCAACAGTTTGATTACTCACCTTCTGCCACACACAGGAGGCTGCAGAAAATAAATTGCCACGCGTAACTTGCATTGTGTTGTTGACCTAACTGCAAAACAAACTGCAAAAACCATCCGAACAAGAAGCGAGAGTTATTGCCGCGATGATGACAAGGTCCTGCAAGCATCGCTTTCTTAGAAAAGCTTATGAAGTGTTGGCACCCGATCCTATGTGGCCAACGTTCACCAGAACGACGCTTACCACGTGGACGGTGTCGAGCTGGGAGGTTAACAAAACCACCTGACTTCACCGCGTCGGAATGACAGTCACTGCGCATGACACTTGTGCGCACATGAAGCTTGCTAACAAATAAAACACCGAAATATTTTGGTAGCCTTCCAGGTCTAAAACGCCGGCCGCATTGGCAACCAGCACTACCCCACCTCAAGCACCGACGTCGACATCAGTGCGATAACCGGTAGCCAATCAACCAGCAGATGTTTGGAAGACCCATCCAGTCCAACGCAACATGTTGCGGCTGCGCTCGTGCGTCGATGACGTCATTGTAATCTATGGCATCTGTACAGGCCCGGATCTACCGGAGATCTGTTGCACTGTGATGATCAAAATAATGCATTTTAAGAAATCCAAATAAGCTCCGACATGATCGCATAAGATTTGCTAAAAGAACAACGCGATCGAAAGGCCACAAATGTTTATCCGCATGCTGGTAAAACCTCGACGAACAAACACTGTTCAGTGCGAGCTAAACAAGGATTGGAACAATTCACTTGAAACCCCGAGCGCATGACGATAACGTGCAAAACCTAGATTTGCAGCATAAATCGGATGTGTTTCGTCTACGTGCGCGAGTAAACAGCACTCAATAACTAAAAGGCGGCACTCTACCGTTAAGCTCCCCACCTCCACATAGCCCTAAAATGACCTGCCCGTCGCGCCCAAGTTCACAGCATTAACCTCCGATATCACAGCATTCAGCTGCCAGGAGTCAGTGACCCGCCAGCAGATACCTTCTGTTCCCGGACACGCCGGGTGCGATATATTTCAAACCTGACCCCAGAGCCTGATTTTAGATTTCGCGTTCACGAGATGCACCCGGAATTCAGCGCATTCTGATTTCGATTCCGTGACTTACCGGCCATCAGGCCGCTCCCACTGCGGCCGTCCATCCAAACACGTCACGGAGGCTTACTCGACCCGGGAGGCAGCAGCCGCCGGTTCATAGTCAAATATCAGAGTTGCACGCGGGCGGCACGTGAGGCCCGGCCGCCACGATCTGCCTGCTGTCTGCCCTCTCAGCCCCCTCCCCCGGCAGGGAAGAGCACCAAACGGCGCCGTGTACGGCTGACAGCCGGCGCACCGGCAGACACCAATCAGCATCGCGAAACAACGCCTGCAAGTAGGCTTGAGCCCTGCAGCCTCGTTCAGTGCCGCACTGCCTCACCAGTTCACATTAGTGGAGGCCACTCCCCACCCGGGCGATTCGCCATGGAGCTCATCAGCACGACATTAACGTGCCACCGTGTCTGAACTGGGGCGTCTCTGTTAAACTCAATTCATCACAAACTTCAAGGATGGATCTCTTTCACCATTCGGTTAACCTGGCACAGTCGTCTCCGGCCCAATCCCACACTTCCGATTGTTGATCCAAGCCACTCTATCTCCTCGCCCTCCCATGCTTCCACGCTAAGTTACTTTCCCTTTTCCCGTCCAAGTTTCTCTTTGCTCCCCTCGTGGAACACGACGCTTGCACGCAAACGACGTCCTCCTGTGAGCGACGACGGTCACACCACCGCCCAGCCGCGGACAAGCAGCCGTCATACCCACCACAAGTATCCACGATTCATTCAGCCCAGCCCCGGCCGGTCAGCCGGCACACTCATCTCCAATCACGGGCGGTCAGCCGGCACACTCGCCTCCAATCACAGGTGGTCAGCCGGCGCACTCACCTCCAATCACGGCCGGTCAGCCGGCACACTCACTTCTAATCACGGCCGGTCAGCCGGCACACTCATCTCCAATCACGGCCGGTCAGCCGGCACACTCGCCTCCAATCACGGCCGATCAGCCGGCACACTCACCTCCAATCACGGTCAGCGTGGCCTTGGCGCGCACCGGATCGCCAACGCCGTTCTCGGCCACGCACTCGTAGTCGCCCTCGTCGGTAATGGTGCGCACAGGCTCCACCCAGAAGCCCTTGCCCTGTGGAAACTCCACCAGCAAGTTGGGCAGCAGCGGCTCGCCGTTGCGCCACCACTTGATGAGCGGCGGCGGATCGCCGCGTGCCCGGCAGAAGAAGGCCGCCGCCTCGCTGTACGGCACCTTCTGGTCGCGCGGACGCTCGATGAACTCGGGCGGATCTGCCGAGAGGACGGGCGGTCACTATACGGCGTGGCTCGGGCACGGCCCTTATACGGCCGGCGGCGCGTCCGGGCCGCTGAGACCGGCACGCTCAACGAAGACGAGCGGGCGGCCTCACTCGGCGGCCGATTGGGGCGAGGCTGTATATCCCGAGCAGCCGAGTCGTCCTTTCCGCAAAGGCAAGGAACCGTCCGAGGCATGGCAGCATCCCCAAACGATGCACCTTGAAAGGATGAAGCGGCCCCATTCCCAGCCGACCAAGAAAGTCGTGAATGACTCGTGACACCCGCGCCGCCGTTCGCCACTGCCTCTGTTCAACAAGAACCGTTCGGCGTGCATTCGTCCACATATTGCGACGCTGTAAGGAACACCGCCACAAAACGGCCCCGGGTGACGGGCTGATGCGACGGCTCGACACCGACGGAGGCTGGTGACTCCGTTGGCCCGTCTGGCGCAGCCGTGTGTACAAACAGAGCCCCCCGTAACGGCCAGAGCGCGGAGGTCAGCCCGTACAGGTGAAAACGACGCGGCGTCGCGGCGGTGGCGACCCTCAGGTCGGGCGATCGCCCACCTGACATGGACAACAGTGGTCGGCGACGCCGTGACAGCCGCCACCGCCGCGGCGCCCACACCACCACTACTCACGTGTCAAATACCGGATGTGAAGTCCAGTAATGTTTGAACCTGCAACCGGACAGCATCGCCAAATGAAGCGGCTGCGTTTAGCGGGCGCGACGGCATGCGTGCCGGCTTTACTCGTCACCTGTGCTGTGCTTTGACGGGGTGGGGCGGGGGGGGGGGGGGGGCAGGGACAGCAACTGCCTCAGCGAGCTCCGAACCTGGTCGCTAGTGGAGCTGATCATGGGCATTGGCCCGGTATGTTTCATTCTAGGTGCCAACAGCCAAAGTTGTTACATAAATATTTTCACTTAGTTGGAAGCCGAAGGAAGAGTTCGTTGCAAAAAATGCACGAATATTTGCGCAGCATCATCATTGTTCGACGCAAAAGAGCCATGATTATAAAGCCTAACAAGATATGCTTACCCAACCCCATATCCTCAGAACCCCCAGTATGCCATGCACATTCCAATGCTACACTTTCGTCGACACGTTCACACGTTACCCCGCCACATTCTAGTTTTACATTCGCGAATAGCTTAACTGCTACAATCTGCGTTCACCATTCAAACAACTAATCGAAGTATATATGTCACACCACCGGGAAGTATACACGTCACACCACCGGGAAGTGTACACGTCACACCACCGTCGCGGACTATTACCCGACGAGCGGGAACAGCCCGGCTAAGTGGAGGCGTTCAACAACAACTGCTCTGGTCACAGCGGCGCGGCGCGGAATCCACTCTCCGTACACTACCGGGGCACAGCGCCTTTCACGAGTGGCAGGACATTCATCGCCTGAACAGCTTCGAACTGACGAGGCGCCGAGAGAGCATTACCAGATCTGGCGTCGAATCACACCATTCTCCGCGTGTTTTTGCCGCCCGCCGTCCAACAAACACGCCATAAATCACGCCGCTAACTAATGGGCGAAGGTGATGGCGCAAGTAATAAGACCACACGGCGCGAGAGCTCCGCCAAAGAGGCGGCTCCATCAGGGCATTGTTGACAACATCGCGGCCAGAGCGGCTCGGAGGGGATGATAAATTGAGACGCCGCCACGAACCGACTGTATCCGCGCTCAGCACACACCCAAACCAGACACGCACAGCTCGCCTGGCTCCACTCGACAACAAAGTACAGAGCCGGTCGGTGGCATGCACAGGCGTTCCGCAAGGGATCAGTCACCGACATTCGAGTAGACACGACACGACGCTCATTCCAGTGTCATTGCCACCCTGCCTCACAGCTAGAGGTGCTGCTGACATTCGCCTCTACATCAGAGGTCACTAGCGCACCAGCTGTCAGCGCTCGGCTGACTTCCACGCAGATGTCGCGCTGCTCACCCTCATGGCAAGCAGAGATGCCAGTCACGCGTCTGAAGCACGGTGGCCACTGCGCAGCTGTTTTGGGCTTTGACGTTACCATATGCATAGACGGCATCGTATTCGCCCATGGTCTTCCGCAAATGGATCTCTTCGATAGCAGCATAGATCACGTCAACTAGTCCGTCTTAATCAAACAATCTTGACTTGCCATGGCTTACTTGGGCTTGGCAATTCCATACAACATATAGATAAATACTGCCATTTAGCAATAACTGACCAGGGCATACAAATGTCTTGTGCCATCAAGATTCCAGCCTCCCAAACCCATTCTGCATGTACTCTGCAGACGGCAGTGAGCCTCCAGCCACGTCCCCTGGGTGTGCGGCCATCTGTCCCCGTATGTGCTGTGTGCTGCATGAATACACAACAAAGCTGGATTTGACCACGTTACAGACTAGTACCGCCGAGGGTACACTATATCCATGTATCGTGTGCATGGCCCCGCGTGCCTCACTGAAGCATGTCACAAACCCAGTGTGTTTAATGACTTTGGCAAAGAAAAATGAGACAGGCGTCGAAACAGTATGCTTAAAATATGACGACTTTTGCTTCACGTAAAATATGATGACTTCCTTCATGTAAAACATGACTGCATTTGCTTCATGTAAAAGTAGAGTAAGAAACTTGTGACGCAAAAGAGAGGATGCGCCGTTGGCACCATAATGGCGGTTTACAACACAGAACAAACAGGTCCAAAGGGCATGGAAAACACTATTCTTATTACAGCCGGCCAGCCCGCGACGAACTCGCACACCACCTCAGCAGCTATACCGTCCTGGGAATTCGCGGCGCCACGACACCCGTCCGCTCTGACGTCCTATGACGTGACGCTTGTGTGGTGACAGCCGGCGCCGGCCGCGCACGCGCGGTCACCCCGACATCCAGACGGGCCGGGCTTTTCGGCCCAGACGGCGATTAAGTCGACTTAACTGGGCCATTCGTCGCGCGAACGAGTTCTGACAGCGACCACGAACGTGGCGCCAGTGTCCGGTGGACGATGCTGTGTTTCTAACCTTGTCAGCACCGGGAAACACGTCTCTGCGGACGGTAACGGAGACTCATGGCGCGCCTCTGAATGTATAGTTCACAGTCCACAGCGGCTCGCGCTTCGCCCGCTGGGTGGAAGGAGCACCGCGTCCCAGCACGACACGCCCATGCCGATTCGGACTCAGGGCACGCGTTTATTTGCACTGGCATTGGTTCATTCATTATCCTTATCACAAGATTTCGTTAAGGTTTCGCAGCTCTAGCACAACGATGATGTCCGGGACCGCAAAAGCGCTCTCTCTCTCTCTCTCCCTCTATCTCTCTCTCTCTCTCTCTCTTCTCTCTCTCTTCTCTTCTCTCTCTCTCTCTCTCTCTCTCTCTCTCTCTCTCTCTCTTCTATCTCTCTCTCTCTCTCCTTCTCTCTCTCTCCTCTCTTCTCTCTCTCTCTCTTCTCTCTCTCTCGTCTTCTCTCTCTCTCTCTCTCTCTCTCTCTCTCTCCTCTCTCTCTCTCTCTCTCTCTCTCTCTCTCTCTCTATCTCTCTCTCTCTATTTCCTCTCTATCTCTCTCTCTCTCTCTCTCTCTCTCTCTCTCTCTCTCTCTCTCTCTCTCTGCTCTCTCTCTCTCTCTCTCTCTCTCTCTCTCTCTCTCTCTCTCTATCTATCTCTCTCTCTTCTCTCTGTCTTCTTCTGTCTCTCTCTCTCTCTCTCTCTCTCGAGCCCTCCTTCTCTCTTCTCGTCTACTGGCCCCTCTCTCTGTCTTCTCTCTCTCGAGCCCCTCTCTCTCTCTCTCTCGAGCCCTCTCTCTCTCTCTCTCTAGAGCCCTCTCTCTCTCGCTCTCTCGAGCCCTCCTCTCTCTCTCTCTCTCCTCTCTCGTCCCTTCTCTCTCTTCTCTCTCTCGAGCCCTTCTCTCCTCTCTTTCTCTCGAGCCTCTCCTCTCTCTCTCTCTCTCTCGAGCCCTCTCTCGAGCCCATACCGACCCCCGTCCCAACTAATGTGTACCTGCCCTCCATATTGTGGCAAAAGAAGTGTCGGATGCCTCTAAAAGCAAGCGCGGCCGAAGACGCGTCGCGCGGAGGCATCCGGCCAGCGGCGCAGACATGGCAGCACAGCGTGCCACGCGGGGCAGCGCGTGGCAGCAGATCTATCGGCGACCAACCGCCAGCAATGCGGGTTAGCCTGCCACTCAAGGCAGCGTACGGTGCATGTGCCCGCTGGCGACAAACCAAAGGCGCGCATTGCGGGTTAGCATACCACGGCAGACTCGCATCACGCGTGCCATCTAGGAGTGGAAATATAAACATTAAGAGGCCATGTCACGCAGTCAGTGGGTAGCTACGAAAGCTCAACAATGCTCAACGAAATTCCATGAAAACCCAAAATAAACCAATGTCTAACCCAATCGGAACCAGGCTGAGGAAAACCCGGAAAGACGACATCTGAGGATCCCTGCAAGGAGAACACTTCAACGCGCACAGGGACGAGGCGATATCATCTGTTTTCAACGTCGTTGACGCTTTCACAGGTGCACGTCAGCACGGTCGGTGCTAATGCATTTCCGCACTGCGGGTCGTCTGTTTCAACAAAAGGACACGTTACGACGTTTCGTACAACTGGAGCGCAATTTGCAAGCGTACCGACGCGGCCCACAGTCCGCCAACCCCCCTCCCCCCCGGCGTAGGGCGGACATGTTCGGCGAACGGCCAGTCCCCATTTCTCACATCCAATCAACAGAGCGGCGGCCGTCTGTTTCAGATGATGGTCACAAAGCCACGTTAATGCAGCGTCGGGAGCGACACAACTAATAACACACGGGGGAAATCCGCCGGCTCACCAAAAAGACGCTTACAGGCGTGGGCGTTGATAATCGGCCAACCCGGACGACGGGTGGGCCAGGTGTCGCCGAGCGGTGCGTGCCGGATGTCGCCCGGGTCGGCAGCGTTATCATAGAGGCCACGCGCGTCACGACCGCCGTACCTGACGTCACAGACTCGGCCAAAGTGGCCGCTGAGGCGAGTATCTCGTGGCAGTACGGCCAGGGACTCTGGGACAGGACCGTCTTCGCCTAGTACCAGTGACAGGGCACGGCATCAACAGTACGGCCAGCACTGATGGACTCCTGGACCAGGACCGTCTTCGCCAGTACCAGTGACAGGCACGGCATCAACAGTACGGCCAGCACTGCTGGACTCCTGGGACAGGACCGTCTTCGCCCAGTACCAGTGACAGGGCACGGCATCAACAGTACGGCCAGCACTGATGGACTCCTGGGACAGGACCGTCTTGCCTAGTACCAGTGACAGGCACGGCATCAAGCGTTTTGCAAGCGTGCGTCTTCATCCAGCGGATCAGAGACTGCATACAAATGTGACCGGAGCAGCTGGACATACCCCATATCCCAGCTGGCTCCCTCAGTGTGCGTCCTGTTTTTTACAATGACGCTCACCCTCTCGTGCGTCCGGTGTTGCCCGCCTCCGGTGTCTCCGGTGACGCCCGTGTCCAGAGCATCCATTAACACCCCGTTCCCGATTGCCTCCGGTGACGACCATTCCCAGTGTGTTCAGCAACGCGCGTCCCCGCCATCTCCAGTGACGGCCGTCCCCGGTGTACCTACTGAAGACCGTCCCGCCATGTTCAGTGACGGCCGTCCCCGGTGTACCTACCGAAGACCGTCCCGCCATGTTCAGTGAC